AATTTCGTAAATCTTGTAGTTTAAGGATATATGAGGTTCTATAGCACATTCGGATATAGTGTTGGCTCTTACATGACTTAATTTGCTTGGTTACGTAAATGGTGGCTGTATGTTCCGATCTCGATCAGCGTGTGAAAGTCATATTCACTCATAATTCCAGGCCATCCAGTTGTGCAGACAATCCATGACAGATCAATGCCATAGAGGTTTGGCCTAGGACCAGCTGATAGGCAAGATCTTTGAACTTAATTGTTATCTTTATGATCCTGTTTCTACCGTAGGGATTAGAAAAAGTTTCAATCTTGATCAAAAATGAGTTAAAAAACCAAAATGATTAAATTATAAAACTAGAAAAAACCAATAAGAATGTCAACACGCTAGTAATAATAGACAGGATTATTGTTAATTATTTCTTGCGTGTTAAATTTTCAACATTGTAGAAGCCGGGTAGACTACATTTACCTCAATCAATAAAAATCTGTACAAGCAAGATAATTCCGTTAATCAAAATCTCGTCAGAAGTATGGCAAAATCCAGAGTAAAAGTTGTATAGTAGTGGACTCCTCCAAAGAGCAGTACCATCAGGTATTTCAAAAACAGTAAGCATGGTCTGTGAAATCAATATATTCTGAAGTGCTAAGATCGTTTCATGAATATGCGGCCATGAATTCAGGTTCCAACAAATCAAATACAAAATCACGAGAAAAATCCAAAAATTCCAAAAATTAAACCCTAATTTAAATGTTTTTCCCACATGAAGGAAAATTCAGAGAAATCTAAGGCCTTATTCTCAAAATCATGTTTTTAGACAAATTTGTTATCTAATTTCAAATGGAAATGGTCCCTGGAGATACGTGTTTTCTTACCTCATCAAAAAGTGCTGTTTCATCGCTGTTTTCTACTATCTTTGTATAATGATGTACTCCTGAAATAGAGAAAAATTTGAATATTCAAATATAAGGTGTCAAAGGTCACAAACAGGAACATGCCTAATACTAATGTTTGATGAGGGGAAGCCCAGGGGTCTGGCCCTAAAAGCCTACAGATTTCAGATTACCTGAGGTGATTTTCAGCATTTAGAGGGTGCATTTTCACTTCAAAATAAGAGCTA